TTCTTGTAACATGGAACTAGTAGAGAGAGTGTATTCCAACAAGGAGCTCAGATTAGAGCAATATTCATTCATATCACAAACATAAGAGGGTCAAACACCACAAAATGAAGGAGGATGGCGTTAATGACCGGCAAACATGATGGTGGGGAGGTAACTTCAATTCACCTATATCTGTAGGGTAGAACATTTTGTTAAATTATGGCTTCCTTCTTAAATCGTGTCGGTGACGTTGAATTAATTTCACTTCCTACTAAGAAATCCTATTAAAAGCAAAACTAGACAATTTGATAAAAATGAAGCCTGCTTATGACTGTATAAAATCAATGAAAAAACGGGCGGAAATAGCTTTGACAAAAAGTTCGATAGCCATTTCTGTATCAGTATACTCCTTGAAACTACACAAAATCCAATACTGTTGACTTTCTTTAGAACCATTTTCATTTATAAAGTTCTTGACACACTCATGCTATATTTACGCTAACTCCGCCTGGAGAACCTCTTGAGCTACTGCCGGTCCCGAGCCCTGGTAAAAGAGGAGGGTTAGGCACACAGTTAGCGACCCCACCCCCTAGAAAACTAACTCGCTAAAAAAAGATAACCAGAAAAAATATTCGAACCACTTAAGCCCTGCCCTGGGAGTTAGAAGGTCTTCATTTAGAAGAGTCGTGACGCCTCACGGTGAAGGCCAAGTTCCTTCGGTAGTCACGAGGCTGATGCCCCTTCTGACAACCTGAGCAACCATTCATTTAGGTACATAAAATACTCGTACAATGTGGGAGACCGAGAGAGTCTTCCAAATTACTGCAGAAATAAAGAGATAGAACGTGGTAGTGTTTGGGATCAGTGAAACACATTGGACATAGGTTGGACAACGACCGCTAGCTTCAGAGTAGCTTCTGTTATACTCTGGCCATGAAGAAGAAAATGTCTCACATACACAAGGAGGTGCATTGATGCTGTCCAAACAAGCACAAAATGCACTTATAAGATGGGAATCTCATGGACCAAGGATCATTAAAGCCTCCTTCAAGACAAAGAAAGAGGACACTACAATGAACGTCATTCAATGCTATGCGCCTACCAACTCCTACAGTGAGGATGTTAAAGACCAATTGTACAATAAGCTGCAGTCAATCGTGGAGAAGTGCCCAACAAAGGACCTGATCATTCTGATGGGAGATTTAAATGCCAAGGTTGGAATGGACAACACTGAATATGAAGATGTCATGGGACGACACGGACTGGGAGAAAGGAACGAAAATGGTGAGAGATTTGCAAACCTATGTGCCTTCAATAAACTGGTCATAGGCGGCACCATATTCCCACATAAACGCATACACAAAACCACATGGACTTCACCGGATCACTCTACACAAAACCAAATCGACCATATTTGCATCAACAAAACGTTCAGGAGGACTATAGAGGACGTGAGAACCAAGAGAGGTGCTGAAATCGCATCAGATCATCACTTGCTGGTCGCCAAGATGAAAGTGAAACTCAAGAAACACTGGACAACGGGGCGGACAATATCATAAAAGTTCAATACGGCCTTTCTTCAGGATACTAACAAACTCAACAAATTCAAGATAGTCCTCAGCAACAAGTTCCAGGTCTTTCATGATCTACTCAATGGAGAAGGAACTACTGTGGAGAGCAACTGGAAGGGGATCAAAGAGGCATACACAAAACCACATGGACTTCACCGGATCACTCTACACAAAACCAAATCGACCATATTTGCATCAACAAAACGTTCAGGAGGACTATAGAGGACGTGAGAACGAAGAGAGAAGCTAATATAGCATCAGATCATCACCTGCTGGTCGCCAAAATGAAATTGAAACTCAAGAAACACTGGACAATGAGGCGGATAATATCTCAAGAGTTCAATACGGCCTTTCTTCAGGATACTAACAAACTCAACAAGTTCAAGATAGTCCTCAGCAACAAGTTCCAGGCCTTTCATGATCTACTCAGTGGAGAAGGAACTGGAAGGGGATCAAAGAGGCAATCACTTCAACATGCCATGAGGTTCTGGGCCACAAGGAGCACCATCACAAGAAATGGATCACTGTTGATACACTGGATAAGATTCAAGAAAGGAGGAACAAGAAAGCAGCAATCAATACCAGTCGAACAAGAGCAGAAAAAGCCAAGGCAGAAGCTGAATACACATAAGTAAACACGGAAGTGGATAGGAGCGTCAGAACTAACAGACTTAAATATGTGAAAGATTTAGCAATGACGGTGAAAAGGATGCAAGAGAAGGGAACATGATACAACTGTATGACATAACAAAGAGACTCTCTGGAAATCACCGTGAACCAGAATGACCAGTGGAAAGCAAAGAAGGCAAGGTAATCACCGACATTGAAGAACAACGAAACAGGTGTGTAGAACACTTCAAAGAACTCTTGAATCGATCAGCCCCATTGAACCCATCCAATATCGGAGCAGCATCCACAGACCCCCCAATCGATGTTGGCCTGTAGTGGCATTGGGCCATAACCACGCAATCCAGGTGGGAGAGTAGTGTAGGCGCATTCGTCCCTAACATGAGACAATTTGGGAAAATCGATATTCAATATTTAACGCGGAGAAAAATCCAACGATGAGGGAAGGCGGAAACAATGAATCGAATTAATTTGACTTGATTGGCTGGTATGGCTCGGCCTTATAGCAGTGGTCCCTGTTGAATGTTACCTTATATCTCTATTCATATTAAATATATCATTCTATCTCTAGCCTGAGCTTGTTCTCCATCATGCATTGATAATTGTTACGGTACGGTGAGTCAGTGTATACAATGATGTGACTTCCACGTAAGATCTTACAGATTAGATAGTTATATCATGACAAATCTACCACTTTAGGATTAGGTCTATTGTTAGAGCAGTACTAATATCGTAATGGGCCATAATTCTACAGGCCCATCAACAATTGAAGAGATTAGCATGACCATCAGACAAATCAGGAGCGGAAAAGAAGCAGGACCAGACAACATAACAGAAGAGCCACTGAAAGCAGATGTAGCAGCAACTGCAAGGGTACTCCCCATTTTCCGTAGCAGAATTTGAGATGAAGTACAAGTACCAACAGACTGAAAAAAGGACTTCTGTTCGAAATGCCAAAGAAAGATGATCTCGGCAAGTGCGATAACTACAAGAGCATTACTTTTCTCTCTATATCACGAAAAGTTGTCACACAGGATATTGTTAAACAGTATGAAGGATACCGTAGACGCTCAACTCCTAAATTAACAGGCTGGATTCCGTAAGGATAGATCGGAACACTACAGATCATTCACTTGGTATTCTCTTGCTTGTACCTTCCCGTTGAAGTTTAAGATTACAATTGATCAGTCTGTAATTGGCATATGTGCATACTGTGCATATGCCTCAATATCGCCTTAATTCACAAGCTTTTATAAGCAAAGATGGATAGTTGCAAGCAGTGGAATACAGGTCGCGTATTTCGTCCTATTTGGGACTACTCAGCTGCACATGCAGGTTGCAATCAGGACTCAGTAACTGAGTGGATAACGCAATGGCGTTTGAAGCGAACGGTACTGGGTTCGAGTTCCAGAGTGAACATCAACTCTGGGATGCAGGTATATCCAGCTGACTAGTCCCAAATATGAAGCAACGTGCTTCCTGGATTCCGCTGCTAACCACTATCAATGTTTGCTTATACAAACTACGGATCATTGAGTAACAACCAATTGAATGGAATTCATCACTGTACATCAACTTCGTTGACTACGGAAAAGCACTTGGTAGTGTGGACAGGACACCACTATAAAGGCTTCTTCGACACTACGAAGTGCCTCAGAAGATAGCCAATATCATACAGAATTCCTATGACGGATTAAACCGCGAAATCGTGCATGGTAGGCAGATGACAGACTCGTCCGATGAAAAGACCGGTGTCGAGCAAGGTCGCGTACTCTCACCCTTCCTCTCTTTCCTGGTGGTCGACTGGATCATGAAGATGTCAACATCTGAGGGAAAGCATGGGATACAGTGAACAGCTAGGATGCAGTTGGACGATCTAGACTTCGCAGATGATCTGGCCCTCCTATCGCACACGCAACAACAAATGCAGGAAGAGACGACCAGTATAGCAGCAGCCTCAGCAGCAGTAGGTCTCAACATACACAAAGGGAAAAGCGAAATTCTCCGGCACAATACAAAATGTACCAATCGAACCACAATTGATTTAGAAGATGTAAAAACCCTTACATACGAACGTGTGACCGAACACACTCAGCTAGGATGTGTTCAGTTAAACTAAGAAGGTAACGATCAACGTCGAAGACTTACAGAACCATTCATTTTGGGGCAACGTTTACCGCCACAAACAGGCATATCTCATACTTGTTAAAGCGCGTGTAACACGGTAGTTGTTGTCCGTCTTTTTCAGCTCTTAGCATACAACATCCTTGTTGTGTATCATGATTTTATCTGCCTATGTGGGTTTCATAGACTTGAACTTATACATGTGAATCAGCCCTCAGATTATTTGAAGGTGACAATGCCACACTTATGACTGCATACTCACCATGAGTAAATTTTGGTAACCACGCTCTCAACAGTTTTTTGAATGCATGTTACCAATCTGAAGAAGTACAAACGAAACGAAGTTGATAACAAATGTTATGAGACGTTAAATTCTTACAGAAAATACAATTGCATATACCTATCTTGACAGTAGTGACTTTCTCTCTGTAAAAATTGACTCAGTATCACCGCTGTTTGTTCAACGGTACTTAGGAAACTCTTTTATGAAGCCCTCTTCTACAATCAACTCAGTTCGTCATTTAATAACTCCAAAGAATTACATATTAAGTTCGACGCTGTATTATTTATGGAATTCGAACTCCTTATATTTCAGTCTGGGTTTGGATTCTATCTTGTCAGAGGATGGTTGCCTAATAAGTTGTCACTCCGACACTGTACAATGTCCTTGACGGCCTTTAAAAGAAAGCCGGGTTGTACAAAAGATCTTTGTGTTAAGGTCAAGCGGAATTATCAAATTAAGCTCCAAGATGGTAAGTTCGTTCTTCCTTATATATAATCGTGTTTATAAAGTAAGTGATCAGATCGCACACCCTTGTAATGACTGATCCTATTTCAAGGTATTTGTTTATTTTGTTTGGTCTAGAATGTTCTGGATATATATTTAAAGTTAACTTTCGTACTTGGTTATGTAGTGTTTACAGAGACTAAAATTCAAGCACATGGATTAATGTCGAAAAATCTGTGTGTTTTCATTTTCTTAATGTTGGCATCGCACAATTTGATTTTGGAAGTAAAATTTTCATAATACCTCTATTAAATTTAAAGTAGTCAAACTTCGATCTAAGGACATTCAAGTAGGTTATCACACTGCGTTCATATATGCTATTACAGTTAACATGCTATCGAAAGCACATTGTTTGTGTCGTCATGCTATGATAATACACTCAATAATGCTTGTATACTGTAAGTTTTACATCCCTCATGCGCCATCCACGATTAAATATTAGTAACCTGAAAATATTCTCCGTTACTAAGGTCCTATTTTCATTTCAATAAAGTTAAACTGAACAAACAGCTGGACGGTTTGTTCGTGCCTTAGTTGTCAGACGGATATTTCTACGCCATAGATGATGCAAGTTAATAAAAGCCAAACAAACTTTCTAATTTTGTGCCAGTAGTTTGTCAGCTACTGAACTATCATGATTTATGTGACCTTTGAGATTTGTAAAGGAATCGACTTACTCGAATTCATGCCATATGATTAGTTTGGATGTTGACGCAAACTAGTCATGAAGCAGCAATTTGTATTTTGAAACAAACCCAATTTCACACATGCTTGCATTTTTGCTTGAGGCAATAAAAAAAGGGAATTTTCCAGCTTTTGCAAACATTTGTGTACTGTAGGTCGATGAGAAAGCTTTCAGGAAGGAAGTCAATTCCTGAAACGCTGAATGTTTTTTTTGGACTCTCAGTATTGGTTGGTGAGACTAACAGGTTTATATTTTTCTCACTTGGGTTTCTAAAGTGCGCTAGTAACAACATAATAAGGAAATTCTCTGTGTGTGTCAAAGACAAAAAGTGCTTCAAGTTAGCATTGTTTGTGACTTATTGATACCTTACCATGTTCTTAGACGACTACACGTAGTTTCGGAATAGGAAGTGAGGGATATTTTTCAACATAGTCGCTTAAGTAGATAATGTTTTGTACATTTAAATACAATAATATTTTGGTTTTATGATATATTTGCTAGATACCCATTTCAGACACTAACACAAAACCTATTGGTTGAGAGTCAACTGTTATTATTTATTTATTTATTTGAACACATAAATATTAGTACAAAGGGGCACCAAATACATGTGTGTCACAATAACGATGAGAATGTAAAGAGATAAAAAAATATAAGGTGTGTATAGTAAAAAGTGGGACAATAGCGAACAGAAATTAGCGTACTATAGTGAAATAATAATAATGGGAGAAGCAGTTCAATTAGCAAAGGTACAACCAGAAAGAATCCTAGTTAAAGAAGTTACGTACATTTTTCATGAAGAAAGTAAAATAAATGTACAACAGGATCTCCACTGACTTCTGTTCTGAGCCATATCTGATAACGTCTCTAGCCGTTGTGTTGTACCATCATTAGGACGCAAACCAGAGAGTCGTGAAGGATCAACAAAAGTCAGTCCTGTACATCTTTCTTTCATGCCACGACACCATGTTATGCACTGACCACCTCTCCGATTTTTCAAACCAATCACCAAATAATGCACGACATGGAATTTTCTGGGACGACATTCGTAAAACATGTCCAAGCCATCGAAGTCGATGTTTCAAGATAGTGACACCAATTGCATTATTGTCTCTGTGCCCGAACAGGCGATGCCGAACCTTTGCATTACTAACATGATGTTGCCACTGGATATCAGCAATCCTTTCGAGACAACGATGATCTAACACAGAAAGTCGTCTAAGATCCGCATAAAAAACTGCTCTCGCCAACGCGTTGTACACCCAACCTTTTACAACCAGACTAACATCGTGAAGGCGCCAAAGATGGCCCAGATTGGCCTAAGCCTCTCTGGCTTTCACCATACGTGAATTGATTTCATCACCCACGCTACCACCAGTACTTACGCAATTACCCAGATACATGAACTCCTCGACTACTATCTGCTCACTACCCGAGGTGAGTGCAGGATCAGGTCCTGCCAGTCTTGTAAAAGTACTTTGCACTTCGAAGGTGCAAAGCACATACCGTACCGACGGACACTAATTGCCACCTGATCAAGTGCGTGTTGCATGGCTTGGGTGTTATTGCACAGTAAGACAATATCATCCGCATACTCAAGGTCGTGAGTTCTCTCTCCAGCACCAGTTTCACACATCCATTACTTACATCCATCAGAGTTGTTTCCAGAACGTCATCGACAGCAAAGTTGAAGAGGGATGGTGAGATTAGGCAACCCTGCCTAATCTCCACTACTTGAATAGAACAATAGACAGAGGTGGTTGTATGCCCTCAATCTGCTTGAAGTCTTTGTATATAGGGCTTCTACGATGTTAATAAACGTCTCAGGCACACCTTTCTTTGATAGACAATCTCAGAGAACAGTCCTGCCCAACGAATCGAAGGCAGCCCTGATGTCAAGAAACACTACGATTGTTGGCCTTTGAAAAGTATGACGGTGTTCTAACATTTGGCGAAGGGTAAAGATATGATCAATACATCCTCGACCGGAACGAAACCCAGTCTGCTCCTCGCGAGTCAATCTTTCTCGGGTTTTGAACAACGTACGAAGTATGACGGAAGCCAATAGCTTGAACGCAATCGGAAGTAGACTTATCCATCGATAGTTGTTACAGGAACAACGTGAACCCTTTCTAAAGATAGGGACGATTATCGACTCATTCCATGATGTCGGAACACTCTCTATCTCTCAAACCTTTGTAAACAAAATAGTCATTTCCTTAACCAGAAGGCCTCCACATAGCCAACCCTATCTGTTGTCCGATCTGCATTAGTGTGCGAACGTTATTTCTTTATTATTTATTTAAACATATAAACATTGGTACAAGGAGGCACCAAATAGATATGCGCCACATAAATCTTTCGATTTGTGTGAGGGCTGGGATATTTCTCGGGTGCCCAGACCGAAGCAGGTGGGTTTCTTAGGGGTCCACACCTAGAGCCTTTGACCTAAAGGTCTGACCCACAAGGCAGTGGAGCATTGTGAGGAGATGTGGTCCCATGGTAGCCGTTGACCAACGATTGGTTCATAAGCCATTTGTTCCCTCAGGATACTAGAGCCCATGTGCACCATTTGTTTGGAATCCGGTTAAAGCGCCGGACATTCGCTTTTCGTCCTCTCATTTTCACAAACAACACCCCCGCCACGAGAAGGCATTGAGTAGGACTTCCCTGGCAGCTGCTGTATACGCGTGGCCGTGTGAGAACATTTTGAGAGGGAGGGCGGAGCCCACCCCACTCTTGGCCATACCAGGGCATTTTGGGGCGTGCGAACGTTAAAGGAAGCCAGTTTAAATGGTATACGTGGTTTCAGAAAGAATATCTCAGTATTCGTATTCGGTGGTAGCATTCAGCTTTCGACCAGTCGGTGACTCGAGATCGTTTAGATAGAACTAGATTTCCACCATAGGCGAGCTGCTGTATAAGTTGAAAGATAAGGATACACAAGGTGGAAATAAAAGAGTAGAAAAGTGACGTATATATAAAAACAATAAAATTTATCAAATGGATTTCAGTTATCTGAATTTTAATTGAATTAAAAACAGCATTTCCAATAGTTATTGTCATTTCAATTTATTTGTGTGTGGGCTATGATAGTACCCGGGTGCTCAGACCGAAGCAGGTAGTTTCCTTGTGGGCCACCTCCGGAGCCTTTGACATAAAGGTCTAATCCACAAAGCAATGGAGCAACGTCAGAAGATGCAGTCCCATGGTAACCAGTGCCCGACAATTGGCTCATACGCCATTTGTTTCTTCAGGATACTGGATCCCATGTTCACCATTGGTTTGGAATCATGGTTTTCCAACTCCTCTAGGTGGATCCTTCATACCCACCAACCGGGTTTAAGCGCTGGACATTCGTTTCTTGTTCTTTCAATTTGGTAAACAACAGGACTCTCCCCCCTCTCGGCTGTACTAGGGTATTTGGGAGCAGTCAACTGCTGCCCTTAACTGAAGAACATTGATTAAAGCTAAAGCTGAAATCTCTGAATCCAAGAGATCACAAAATTCTGATGGATACATTCTTGTAGTATCCAAAACGTTTACGTATTTTTAGAGTTTGTTGTATTGAAGCTTCATCCAAACGACAAATAATATCTGTCGTAGGGCTTTAAAAACTAGTAGTTAAGTTTATTCGTTCACAGTTGCCATTCAGTAACCACTGGAGAACGATAATCTGGTTCTCTTATTTGATTTTATTCAAATCTTTTCAGACTAGTTGTGGATGGGTCTGTTCTAGCGTACTGGCTACTGGAAAGTTCCATCCTGACATTGGCAGAACAGAGTCCTAGAACCAAAAACATTCTTCGTGACTGATATGTCATAACTTCGTCTTCCCACAGAGACTTACTTGCTTACACCTGTTATTCTTCGTAGAGGAGCATAGGCCTTCAACCAGCTTTCTCTATCGTTTCCCACAGGGAAGGTTTCTGTTATTGCTGTGCCTAGTATTTAACCATGATTACGATTGCCATCAAACCCGTCACGGGTGAAGAAGTGACTTAATGGCTACGGCCCTTGGCTTTCAACCTATTTGTCATAAACTTTGACCCTGCCTCACTCTGTTTGGTTGTCGTAGCCAAATGGTTACACCAGCCATCACACAAGTAAAGTGTCTCGAAACTGAGGATATAAACCTGTACCTCCAAAATAAGTCATATTTCATCCAAACTGTAATGTAATGTGCTTTTGATCTTACGTTTTAAACTGAATTTCTTACCATGATAAAGTATTAAAGGACATGTTTTCTAGTTAGTATAAATCTGCTGATTCACTGTGGTAGGAAGGCTCAACCAACATGATATCAGCTTGCTAAACAACGGGATACATACTGACTCTTCCCAAAGATCATTTTTCATGGTTTAAAAGTAATATTGAAATATGTTTGTTCGTTTTCGTTTTAGTGTCTAACTGTAAGCAAAGTACTTAAACACAAACATCACTCTCCTAAGTCCCTTCCATCCACATTCACTCAGTTTAATAAAGGTGGTCGACAGTTATCATCGGAGGTAATAACAAGTAGCGTGTAACTATGATTTTTACTGCCATTATTTCTATCCAGCTGGTGATTATCAGTTGCCTTTTCTTGGGACTTCATCTTTCATCTGGAGTTTCGTTCGATAAGTAGTTTTGGAACCGCATAGTCATATCTAGTTATATACAAACTTTTCTTAATACATAAAACAAACCTAAATATATACGGAATATCCATAAATAGATAAACCTGCAATACTGATCTCAAATACTTATTTTACGGGTTGTCAGTATTGAAAACGTAACTGATCAATTAATTAGATTCATTCATGAACTAAGTCGTTTCAGATGTATTACTTTCAAAACTTATTAGTTATTTGATGTATCATTTCACCTAGTTGACCAAATATAATTGAATATTGGTTATTCACGAAATATTTTTGTTCTGTTTTGTATTTTAGAAAATTGTCTGTAGCATTCTGTTTCTATTTGCTTTGTCAGTGAAAGGTAAGTTACTGAGTGTTTTTCGTAGAAGTTTAGGTTTATTATATTTTTTGGTGATATTATTATTAAGTTTCTGATTCTAAACAATGATGCCAAGCCGCTCCTATTTTCCTCTTATTTCTTAATGTTCCGTTGATTATGTAACGTTCCATTTTCTTTCTTCAATTTCATGCTTCAGATACTTTATTATACTTATAATTTTGACTGTATGTAGACCTAAAAATATAATCCTGCTGTAACCCTAGGGTAAAGGTAGTTTTATCATCAACTCCCTACAGAGTGTCTACCTAATATTCAGATCATTCTTAAGTTCTCTTAATATATTTAATCGACTTTCTATCAGTTTTTGGTATATATTCGTTCATCGAATCAGTATATATCAGAGAGATTTATAATTTTATAGTCTGGTGCAAAGTATCTTCTGTTTTATAGGGGAAAATAGGATTTAACTTATTTCTGTCACAGAAATGCGATTCGAACCTTCGAATTTCAACTACTAGTTTGTAGGTGTGAACTGTACCTTATGTTATTCAGTTAAAACACCTGAGTAGTATCACTAACCCCCATATAAACAGTGTGACGCAATATTGAGTACATAAATTTGTGTCTGGTAAATGTTCAGTCCAGAAAGTTGTAAGAATGTGTTTTCATTATTTCGAGGGTGAAACAGATCAGTCATCATACACAAAAAATCAAAAAGATCCGTGACATTCTGTATGGAAATTGAGAGCTTTTATGTAAGATTTTATCTTCAAGCTTCCAGTTTATTTCCATTTTTTTATTATTATTCGTTTACTAGTGTAAAATCCATGTTTCGGTTTCGTTTATTTGCAGTACAAATACTTAAGTCGTATTTTCAAACCACTTCTGCTTTTTTAATTTCCTGACTATTAAAAATAATATGTTTTGGGGATGCACAGGGTTATTGGTTAACTACATGAATATAATAGAGTGATTACTTTTTAAAAGAGCAACTAAAACAGTAGTGTAGATGTGCAGTGGCTGAAGTCTTTAAGCCTTATTATATGTAATACGTAGTCACCATGTGAAAAATGTATGATTCAAAATTAATCCTAGGTCCTTTACTTCACTCGCCGGTTTAATGATGTGGCCACCAAAATATTCCCGACGTTCACCTATCACACTGGAAGTAGCTTTCTAGGAAAATTAGCTGTTGAGTGTAGGTGTTATGGTACAATTATGTCTACTTATTTTAAAAATATGTAATTATGTACCTACTTTAGCCATCTAACATATTGTTTATGTTCAACATTCTAATTAGCTTCAGTTAGCCTTTGGTACTTTCTAAAAACAGTAATTTTCAGTTTGAGGTTGTGGAGATTGTTGAATTTCATTGAAATCATGAACCGATCAATGTTAAATCACCATTGAAACCTGCAAATACTGGACAGCCGTTTCATCCTAGTATGGGACTCCTGAGAAGTGTGCAGTTACTTATCGAAGACAATGGAAGATAGTCGCGTGACATCGTTGATTGGTTTAATTTAGAAATCAACATCGTTGGATGCTGGCTCAGTGGTCTAGAGGTTAAGCGTTAGTGCGCGAAACCGATAGTCCTGGCTTTGAATACGGCGTGCGGGATCGTGGATGCGCACTACTGAGAGGACGAAACGACCGTTCAGTGCTTCCGAGTTTAAGTGTTGGTCTAGGATCGACAGATTCATGATTTCAATAAAAGTAACAAATTTGTTTCGGGAGAATAAGGCGTTGAATAAAACGTAGCTTATAGTTCTAGTTTTATAGTGTTTTGAATAGTCATCGTATTTTACTTTAGCTTAGTCCTATAAAACCGAAATTTTAATAGGAGACGGCATTATCCAAAATTTGTATGTCCATGCATCTAAAAAATATAATGTGGGTATATATATTTAATATGGCTAAAAAAATCTACAAAACAATTATTCTACGTTATAGAGAAAACTAACGAAAATTCAGAATATAGAATAATTCAGTCAGTCAATACCAACGTAGAACTTCGTACGTACATACATCAGTTCGAGTTGCCACACCACATTAGCACAGAGATGCAGTGGTCGAGTATAAGCAGTAATCAGGAAAATTAGTGTTTGTAGATGTTATTTAAAGAGTATAATACAGTGAAATAAATTTGGGAAGAGAAAAAAAAGAGACAAGGAGGAATAAGGAGATCAAAATTTGGGAGAACACAAAGAGTGTATGCACCTGCGCCATTGCAAACGATTTTGAGCCATGTCATTTAGGGTCTCTAACCATCGGTTGCTGTCATCTCGCGGTCTCCAACCACGTAGTCTACACCTACCAACATGACTCAGTCCACTTGTCAGTGACTTCACGGACTTGTACCATGTTTTGGTCTGGCCGCCCCTAGCTTTCTTCCAACCTACTCCTATACCACTGAACATCGCACGTCGAGGCAGTCGGTCGTTGGGCATACGCAACACGTGTCCCAGCCATCTCAACTGATGAAGAATAGGCAGAGACGACGAAGAGGCAACGACGAGTGTCCCTATCTTTTCGGATCCTTACTGTTCCGTTTAGTCGGACAGCGCACAAACGACTGTTTACTGGGATCCACTCTAAGAGAGCTAGTTCCGCCCTAGGACTCAATGCTATACATACGCCGGCGAGGCCACGGGAAGCAAAATCAGGGCTTCCAGATACACGAAGTGTGAATCGACCCGGTTCTTTATTTTGGCATGGTGAGGTCAAATGAATGACGCTACTCGGATCCTGTATGCGCGTTTCGGAGACGCAGCACACATCGATTGCGCGGGATTCTAAAGTCTTAGCTAAGGAAGCCGGCTGTCCTATTTGGCACAGTGTTCGGACGTCAACAGCTCCTTCGTGTAGTTTAGAGCGTGGTTTCAGGAGACTAGGAATAGCGTTCCGCGTACTCGAATCGTTTGCCCTAGCGGTGCGAGGTGATAAAGAGACGTGGGAAGGGTTAGTCATGGAGATAAAAGTGGCATTAAGAGGAGTAGGAAGGATTCGAATGTGACCAACTTGGTCTCATATGCTGTTACGGGTATGAGGGCTGATATCACTTCCCAGTTGCCCACACCGTGGAAGGGTATTTCTCGAGGAACCTGAAAAGGAATTCGGATTGATGTCGGCTTTAGGGACCTGGGAGCGTGACTGCAGAGCCCAAGGGACAACTGCTTGAGGTCAGTTGCGCACGGCTTTCTCATGGGAGGTTTTTAATGTGTTAGCTCCGTTCTTCAAAGGGCCTTACCGCCGGAGACGAAAGTCCAAGAGGTAAGGTGAGGTGTGACATTTTTAGGGTCGACCTTTTCTAACCCCTTTCCTTCCTTGTTAGAAGGTAGCATAGCTGTAGATGCTGGTTGTCCGAGGGAAACACCTTACTGCTGTCACACCTCTCTACAGTTAGCAGTATGACTTCGCCTTCAGACCTTGAGTTGCTGCTTTTAGTCTTATCGTTCTCCAGTCGACCTGCCTGGCATGGTAGAACCTACAGGAACATATGTTCCAGCCAATATAGCTCGGTTGGGTCATTAAGATAGGCAAGCCTGACCACCGCGTCAAGGTAGCAGCTTCTGTCGGGATAGAATAATTAACTGAGTGTGTATTCTGGTATTATTGAATATTGATATCCGCCATCTTTTAAACTTCACACTCTGTCAATTATGGATTTTCCAATTTATTGACAATGCTTACTGTGTACTATTATCTGCGTATATTTCATGTTCTGATGCTCTCATTACTTGTATGTTTGTGTATTTCCCTTCTCTCCTGTAATGTCTCACGTTGGAAACACTTGTGATTTACTACCTAATTCCTACCGGATAACAGAAAGTCAATACTATTATGTGTTCTTCATTCTATCGGATAGTTTCTGTGATGATTGTACATCTAACCTTACTTGTGTTTCTTATGTGAATTATGTGTGTTAATATTAACACGTATATACATATGTTTAACAGAAAAGAGAGAATGGAAAATTCTTATATAACATGCAATCTTACTATTATACCAGACAAAACATTTTGTAATCGGGTATATTATTTGGCAGTTTGACTTTACAGTTTTGACAATCAGTATCTGTAGGATTTGTTAAATACGTAGCCATTCAATGAGTTGTATACAGTATAGTGCCTTAAACAAATATATTATTTATTTATAACAATCTACCCAATGCTCAATTTATTCGAAATTATCAAATCAAACCTTGGTAATGATACATATATATTGGTTTAGTAGCATTATCAGTGGTAGTGGCAAACGAAATACGCCAATTGTAGTTCGAAAGAAACAATTAGCACTTATAGCCTTACTGAATCCTTATTTGGAAGAATCCATGAAAGTTTATATTTCCCTGTTGGGTTGTTAGTAATTAATAGGGATAGATATATTTGATACTCCCCTTTCACAGAACTTTTGGAATTATATTGTTGTTTAATTAAATAGTGTCAGAGACCGTATTCTGACAAAAAAATTATTAGGAGATGTATTGCTAACCACTACTGTTGTATGAGCTATGGAAATCACCACTGGTTACTTTGGTGTTTCATCTACAAGAACCAGAAAGGTGGTGTTATTGATAATACCACTAAGGTCTATATATATATATATATCCCTGTTTTCTGCTTAGTTACTTCTTACAATCATAGAGTGTTATCCAAACAAATCCTGCACAGTACCTTTCAGCTATCAATGTTTACACTTAAGAAGAGTGGGATTTTTGATGAAATATGAACAGTCTAAATGAATCGGATAATAGTTATCTTATGTGTTATTGTTAACAATAAGTTATTCTATAAGGGTTTGATTAATCCACTTTGACCAATGCTTATTGACAGAAGTGCATTATGAGCGGATACCTCGATATTTTCATTAGATACAAGAGTTTGGCATATTTTTTTATTTCGCTGCTACTAGATCTAATCCAAAAAATCCAAAAAGTAGTCATTTTATTGTGAGAAACTGACTTATCAAAATGTTTAGCGAATCGATTTGTGCACCAGAATTCAAAGGTGATTGTATCA